TGCGAACATCTGTTGTTGACATTCGCGAATGCGAATGCGAATACGAATATTCAGTTTTTAAATCTAGCGCCGTTTATCTATGATTCAAAATATGCCGAGCGCGACGCACATATTTCCGGTGACAGCGGCCCTATAGGCTAAAGAAATTAGCGTTGTTAAGTTGGTAGAACGGTATTTTTGTATGATTGGAATTTTGTTTTGTTTTCGCTACCGGCTCAGATGAGTTTGTGAATTGTGAGGTTAGACTGTTGTTAGTTATTTCTTAACTTTTTTGTTTAATTTACTTAATATTGTTTTCACATTCTGTATTTTTCTTTCACGTTCATATTCGCAAAATATTCAGATATTTGCGAATGCGAATGCGAATATCATAAATCAAACGAATATTCGCGAATGCGAATGCGAATGCGGATATTCGTTACATCACTAGTATCGACCTACTAGGATTAAATATGAATATTAGTATAAATCAAATACAAACAGGAATTTTATTTTAAAATCCAAGGAAATTCCAGTACAGTAATATGATATGAAAATATAAAAATGCTTCTTGCGGTTTCTGTGAAATGCTGAATCTATTTTTTAAGAACGAGAGGTGGAATATGACATTCAAGTTATCGAAGGATTGCTTTAAACGCATGGACACATAATACATTGATACTACCAAGTTTTAGAAATAGTAAAACTAAAAAGACCTGTCAGGCTACTGGCCACAACCGTTCCGATCCTTGATTTTTACGGACGAGTTGATTTAAAATTCTAGGTAGTTTGAAGCCTTCCTTTCCTCAGTTTTAATTATATTAATTGCATTTTTTAATTTAATTTTAATTTAAATTTTAAACTTTTTTGTGAAATAAGTAGCGTAAGTTATTTTAAATTTAATCAAAATTTCCTCTTCTAGATATCTTAACGACAAGAAAATAATAGAATAATAATGGAACATAATAGGTGTGCATTGAAACAATAAAGCAAATATCTCGAAAGCGAACAGATATGTCGAGCAGTTATCACTTACAATTAGTTTCACGATAGTTACGCAGAATAATAAAATATTCCCTGATTTATACACTATAACTAGCGCCTTCTATCAGCTATGTTAAAACTAATAGAAAATTATTATTTTACATGAAAAAATGCAAAGCTGAGAATTTTTAAGTCGACAACAAAAATATTCAAAATTATTGAGAAGTTTCCACCTTGTATTTCTTAAACCGTCTGTATATATTAAGGTATGTTTGGTCCAATAATCATAGTTTTGTCTTTGGTATTTTTATTCTCGTTCTTAACGAATCACCCTGTATAAGCATTTGTATATGCAAATTAGGGCACACTGTAACAAAAAGTATGGTAAATTTCCTCGAACTTTTCATGGTAACCTGTTGCCATGAAATGTTCAAGAAAAATTCATGTAACATTTATGTAATTTTAAATAAAACCTTAATACCTATATTGATTATACATGGATTTTATTTGAATACTCCATGACAACAGGTTAATATGGAAAGTTCGAGAGATTTTAACATACTTTTTATTACAGTGCATAAAAGGACACGACCAAATTAAACTAAGTAAATTAACTTTTTTCCAAAATTTCCCGGTTAACCACTTTTTTTCGGCGAATTTGGCCTACTTTTATATATCAATAATTCTATAAAGCTTAATACAATTTACTTTTGCCCGCAAACATACAAAAACATGTATAAAACGTGTAAAACTTTTTCAAATTATGTTTGCGAGCCTTTGTGTAAAACATTTCTAACATCTGTGCTTTTTGTATTACACAGTGCGAAAATTCTATTGCCCACAAATTGGTGTGGACATTATTGTTCACAAATACGGGCAATTTCAGAGTACCTAGTATGGGTATAAATGGACATACCTTTTATGGGTTGCCAACATTGTCATTTTGATTACAAGACTTCGGGTTTCACGATCATTCTTCGAGTATCGAGTTTAAAAAAAATATTCGGGTTTATTGATAAGCATGTTATACTCATAGACAAAAAATTGTTTTATTTCAAAGCGATAACATCATATATTTGTTTATTACTTAAAAGTTGAGAAAATAAAAATATTTTATAACAGGTGTATGGAGTGATGAAAAGTACAAAGGACCCCGCACATTTTATATGGAAAACGGTCTTCCGGTGAAATTTGCTAAAAATTTGGGAAATTGTTGGTTTTGTACCCCTGATCAAAAGTGTCAATGGGGTCGATGGCTCAAAATGCCCATCTTTAGGCTCTACGGCAATTTTTAGTGGCCAAAAACGGCAAAAATTCATTCAGCGTGTCTTCTCTTTCGCTTTATTTACATTCTTTCTCTAGAAATCCGCTTCAGTTATGAACTGCGAACTCTTGGAAAATCTTTGGCAACTCTTGGGAACTCTTTGAAAAAATGCATGAGAGTTCCGAGTTCATTGAAGGTTATTAAAACCACAAAATAATATTGAGACGGTGTGTATTAAATCTTGTATAATTGTGCATTCAAAAACCCTCTCACACAAATACATATACACACATATAATTAGACATGGACATATTCCTACATAAAATACTCACACGCATACAATTTAATGAAAACTTAAGGGACTGTACAAGCATTAAACATAATATTTAAAAAAAATGAATTTTTGCCGTTTTTGGCCACTAAAAATTGCCGTAGAGCCTAAAGATGGGCATTTTGAGCTTCGACCCCATTGACACTTTTGATCAGGGGTACAAAACGAACAATTTCCCAAATTTTTAGCAAACTTCACCGGAAGACCGTTTTCCATATAAAATGTGCGGGGTCCTTTGTAAAACTCTAAAATTGACAAATGTTGGTGTTAATACAGAATGATCTTTAAATCTTACATCTGATAGCAAATTAAAACTTTCTTCCGTTCATGCAATAAATACATAGTTTTTTACAAATGGGTAGGTAACTTGACGAAAAGTTTTTTATAAAAAAATGCTGCTTTTTGAAAAAATGTTATTAAATTAAGTCTAAGTTTAGATTCGTAACGTCCTTCTATTTTTTTTGTCTACTTGGTTGACCTCAAAATAAAAAAAATAATATTGGCAACATATAGAAAACATTATTATTAACACCAATATTTAAAAAAAATTAATACCTAGTTTCAATACGATGACAAATCGAATTTGAAACATTTTTTAATTGTAAGTAACATTTTACTATTACATTACTCGACTTAAGTTTAATTACATTAATACGTAGATATTATATTTTAAAAAGCAGAACTTTTTACAAAGAATGCTTTTCTTTCTAAGTCGATAATGAAAAGGTTTTTCATTTTTATCTCTATACTAAGACTAGTATACTATATTAGATCTATGACTAAGACAATATTGATAAATTGTCACTTATATCATTTGATGGCTGGAGCAAGTACTTTGAGTAAGTAAAATGCCACCAAAATTGAGCACGCAAGATAAGATTGAAATAATTTTAATTGTTGGCGATAATTAAGTATAAAACGTTTCGGGAAGTTGCTGATATTTTTAACAATAAACAAAAACCCTGATAAAATTATACATTTCACAACAGTGGGGAATATACCTATCTAAATTCAAGACTTTTGGAAATGTAGGCAATAAATTCAAGAATTAACGCGCAAAGTGTTGCAAATAATGAAACAGTGAAATAAATAACTGAGATAAATAATGTTATCTAGTAGAAGATCCTAAATTATGCAAGTAATTTCAAAAATATTAAAACTGAACAAATTTCGGCCTTAAAGACCTAAATTTATACATGCTTTGAGACCAGGCGATTTTGATCGACAATTCGAATTTAGTTATTTGATACAAGGAAATGATCCTTTTATGACCAGAAATACTATTTTTTCCGACGAAGCGACGCTACGCTCAGTTCCAATGGGGTAGTGAGTTCTTAAAATTGTCGTTGGTGGAGTGATGTTAATCCTAATTTTACTATTCAGACTCGTGAACAGTACTCATTTAAAAGTATTTATCATTGTTTTTGCAAATAAAAAAAAATTAAAATTCAACACCCCGTATCCTTTAACCGAAGGCCTTGCGGACCCATGTTCATAGGAACTTTTTTTATTGTTTTAGTGTCCTCTATTGTATGTCACTATGCAATGTACTTTTTTCTATGTCACCCTGTATATATAGCGAACGTTCGCCAGTTGACTTTATTGATGCCCGAGCGCCTTAGTTCATTTCTGGTTGTAATGAGGCACGTTGTCTAATTCTGAGTCAATGTTTTCACAAGATGCTTATTAGAAGAATTATGTGGATACAAAAATTACTAATCTGTCACTTGTATGAAAGACTAACAAGGTACCCTTCGTATTGCAATGTTGGACACAAAATGACCATATACTATGTAACTCTCGCGCCAGCGTATTAACTATGATTACTACGGGCTAAAGAAATATAATTTTACTTAGATTATTTTTTAACGTTAATAGATAGGCCTCAACTCAAAATATATATCTATTCACCACGACAAGATATCCTCTTGTTCTAGTAAAGCATCGACTAAAGGAAATAAATCGTGTTAGCAAAATAATTTTTATTACGTTTGGAATATGATATTTTAAAACAAATAAGATAAATTATTATTATAATACAAATTGACTTAGCAAAACTTTCTTATTAGTCGATTTCTGTCAATGTAGATATTCTTTGAAATACTGCAACCGAATTTTCTGATGTTGTCCACTTCAGAAAATACACTACTTTTGCCTTTAAACTTTTATTTGCGGCCAATTAGAAAACATTTGTATATGAGCATTGTTTGTAGATCTGGACTAGGCATTAAATAAATATCACATAAGTGCAATTGTTCGTCACAGACTATTTGCAACTCCAAATTAATGTTCCGTTCGCTCTCTACCTAGTTACCTACCTGCGAGCACTTTCAGCGAAATCGATTTTCCAAGCAGAGCAGCATTCTCCAATTTGCCAGTACGACGGCGGCCCTGGGCAAAATATGATTGCGGAGGCGAGAGTAGGGCTAAGCGGGACCGAGACAAGTGGGAAACTCGAGGATCATCATCAAACGGAAAGTGAACAAGACAGTGGCGAATTCAAATACATCTGAATCGAGCAGGTGTGTATGTATACGCTAAATGATGTTGAATTTAATTCATATATGATAAACAAATATTTAATATCTATTGTTACGACAAACACGCGTCACATGTGTTAAACGTACTCGGTAACTTGACAATACCTAACTACTTATCTACATAAGATCAGCATTAAAACACACGATGGCTGATTTGCATTTAGAACTAAATCAGTCTTTAGACTTGAGGATAGCCCAGTTCAAAAATGATCCCGATAAGATGAGAGAAGTTAATGAATTTTTAAATGAGTTATTCGATAAAGCACAAAAAGAAGTAGCAAGACGAAATGGGAAGCAGAAAGGCAAACTGGTAAGAACAAAAATAATAAGTGAACAAGATTCTAAAATTATGTGTATCATGTTAAATTAACGAGGATTTATTTTTCTTTTCAGGATGCCTTAGGGATACAAAGTGAGTATGAAATTGTTTTTCTTTTTCTTTTATCATATTGTTGTTATTTTGTATTTTTCTATTTTTGGTAAATAAATCAATACACTCTTGACGGCGGGCACTTTAAAATATTCGGGTCAATGTGACCAAAAGCCTTAACAAAGTTTTATATTATTTACATTACATGTTTATAGGTACTGTATAAATATTATAAACGATTTTAAATATTTTATTATTTGCTTTAAATTATTATAGCAAACTGCTAAAAACATTATATTATGTGATAAGGTTTCATTTGACAAGTATATTTACTGTATAATTATCAAACGTTTAGCGAGTACCTGTGACATCAATAATGTTATTTATTTCAATTAAAGAAAATAATGCATGCCATATGTGTAATATGATTTATTTATAAGAACTATTTCTGAATGTAAAGGTTTATTGATTGAAAATTAATTTACTAATGTTCCGGAGACACAATTTGAATATTTACTATTATGCGATGTCTTGGAGCCATTCTATTTGTTTTTGTCTAGTTTATGACATAAGATAATTCACTCATAATTGCGTTAATTACGCTGGTATTCCATAGTTGGATACAATTGAAGAAAATGTTCCTAATTTAGTAATGCAATATTATTTAGTGGTAAGTATGTGAACAGTCTTTATTTTTACATTTACTTCAGACCATTTTACATAAAATGGTGCTACATAACTAGGTAGGTATTCTCTGCAGGTAATAAAAAATATTTTAATTTGTTACATTTTTCTCAAGAAAAATAATTTCCGCACCATTAGGCACTTGGAAACTCATTTTATTACATTAAAACCACTGCATACTGCTAAGATAATCTGATAGTACCTATATAGGGTTATTTACATAACAATCTACCCTTCTTGTCTTTGTTGCTTCCGTATTTAACAAAAAATTGTATATGTAAAAGTTGTATGAATTTTTTTTGTGGAGGTTTTGGAGATACAACCCAAACTTACAATTGTTTTATAGAACACTCCGTATATTTTTGAATCTTTGGATAAAGTACTTCCTTAACGTTATAATGATATACATTGGACAGATCTGTCTTTAATAATAAGGACGATATGGCTAAAACAGTATGCTAACAATAAAGTCTTTATATTATTTTGGCCATGTCTCTTTTATTAATAGAAATGGACTTGCCACATATTATATTATTAAAGAAAAATATATAGGCTATTTTGTCGAAATGATTGGTTCAGTTGTTTTTCTAAATATAGCTTTGAGATCATAAGAAAATTTCCTAGAACTTTTACCAATGCTCTTTTCTTCTAAGTACAAAAATATAAAAATATAAAGGGTGTGGAACGTTATATGAAAACCCTGTATACAGAATGTCTCAAAATAAAAAAAAAATGTATAAACGTAGGTCGAATAATAAATACTTCGTTTTAGAGATACAGTGCTGAAATTAAAAAAAATAAAACATTAACATCTCTTAAAATGTTTACGTAGATTGTTGAAACTTGGAGTAATTATACCGACAATTTCGACGTCACTGAACATTTTAGAAATTGAAGAAGTGTATTTAATTTCGGTTGATATTTCTAAGAAAAAATGTCTCATTTTATTCGAAAAACAACTTGAGCAGTTAATTTTTAAATTTAATAAAGCCTCTGACATAGTTGAATAAATCGAAAATAATTTCTATCTTCATGATTATTAAAATAGGAACGAATTTTCCAATGTTGATGCAGACATTATTTATCTTTACAACGAACTGAAAAATCTTTAATTACCTGTAGAGATTACCTAGCTATCTATCAAATTTTTGTGTAAAATAGACTGGAGTACGTGTTCAAAAATAACGACTTACGTTTTAAATAGTTTACATAGGTACGAAATTTTTATTGAGTTCATGTACCGTTAAATAAATATCGCAGTATCGAAATTAGGAACCCAATATTTTTGCTGAATCTACATATACATACAGGCTGTTACAAATTTGCTTCTCACTACAGGGATCTCGGAAACAGTAAGAGATACGAACTAGCTTAAATGGGGGCAAAGTTGCGTAATCAGGAAACCAACATTATGCCTCTAAAAAATCAAGGCTAACATGATTAGTTTTCGAAATATTTGAAAAAAACTGAAATTTTGGAAATCCGTTTTTGTTTCATTTTACCCTTGTTTGAGGTGATATTGAAAAAAGAAGAACACTTTCTCATGGCACCTTTTTGCCCTCTATCGACTGACAATCAACTTTTATATGTAACGTTTCATATTTCCTTCTATTATCTACTATCATATTACGCTTATCTTAATTTTTAACATTTGCCAAAACAGAAATATTTTACTGTAATTTTTGGAAATATAATATTCATTTGGAGTTTTGGTTGTTCATATACATTTTTAAGAATTAATTTGTGATAATAAAATTAAAATTGTAATAATGTTTTAATTTTGACGCAACAACTTATCGAGTTATGTATGACCAGCTGATGGTAATAGTTTAAATAATTAGGTGGATTTCACAGAGTCTAACGACATTTTGAGTGTACGATAATTCAATAAACAGAAATCTAAACAAAAAAAAAATTTGGACGGATACATTGAAGATGAATTATTCGAGACAAAACGTCTGAATCTGGTTCGGGCAATACAGTATTGAGGGATATGAAGGCTTGCAAAAGATGTAATAAAATTTCCAGGTCAGTATTTAAAAAAATGAAGTTGATGATGGTTCTGGAAAGACGAAACGTTACATATACAAATTGATTATGCCACTCGATAGAGGGCAAAAAGTTGCCATGAGAAAGTGGTCTTCTTTTTTTAATATAAACTCAAACAAGGCTGAAATGAACAAAAACGGATTTCCAAAATTTCGGTTTTTTTTCAAATAATTTGAAAACTAATCATGTTAGTCTTGATTTTTAGTGGCATAATATTGAACTCCTGATTACGCAACTTTGCCTTTATTTAAGCTAGTCATATCTCTTACCGTTTCCGAGATCCCTGTAGTGAGAAGCGAATTTTTAACAGCCTGTATACGAATAATTGATAACGCTTTACGACTCAGAAAATTGAAATTCGTTTGCCTCAAGAACTGTGCATTTTAGCGATATACAAGAAGTATGCATTTTAAGCTTAAAAGTCAGTGAAATTATAAATATTACGGAATTTGTGAACATGCAGTTCATACTCGAATGCTTTGAAAACAATTGACAACAATTTATTTGACATAAAGAAATATGTAATTGGGGAAAGGAAAACATAATTTAGTTATTATATTTTACATGTTTTTGTTTTATCTTATTGCACTAGGTTTCTGCAATATTTTTCTCCATGTGTTTTTTTGTTCGCTACGCTAATGGTATACTAATATCGTAACTTTTTTTATATAATGTTTCCAATTTAATATATAATTTAACCAAATTTTGACCAAAATTTCAAAATCAATATTTTCGTTTTTCATTTATTTACTTTCAATTTAAATTACAATTTATAAAAAATATTTTTGTGGTATGTAACGTATATAATTTTTAAGTCATTTTTATTTTTAAACTATAGAAATGATACGGGACCAGCTCTTTGTTGTAAAATTGTCTAAAATTTTTAAATTTCATCAGACCAATAATAATCTAAATGTCAACGTACAAAACAGCCAGAAGAAAATTTAATGACATCCCCCTGATGAGATCAAATAGATTTGTTCTCGTTTTTTAGTTGTACAATGCACTGGTAAATTATTGTACCTAAACCTTATACAGGGTGTATTTAAATGGAGGGGCACAAATGATATCAGAGATTCCTTGGGTGAAAATAAGTCGATTTAACCTAACATACCTATATCCCAAGTCGCACAATAAAAAAGATAGAGGGTGTCAAAATGAAAAATAAAAAATGGTTTTTCCTTAATAATTTCTTTAATTTTAGTCAGAAATGTTTCAAATTTTCAACACAGAGGCTTTTTAATGATGGGAAAAATAATATAATAATGATTTTTGAGTGTCGAGTGCGAGGCGCCCTCTGCAGGCAATGTTATGCATTGAATATGTAGTAACTTTTTTGCCAACCCCCGTATACAGCTTTCAGTAACAAAATAGGAAATATTGGACTTTTTTGAACAAAAAAGGTATACTTATTGAAAATGTGTAAAGCCAACTGTTGAGGAGATATTTTTAATTTCATAAATTAGTGTTAAGGATTTATACCTCCACGAATACCAAGGCACAAACAGATACTTTTGTTAATACAGACCGCATTGCCTTGCAGTACTTATTAGTTGTGTATCTGTAGTTAAAACCAAAGGAGGGCTCAGGAATCAACTGAGACAACATTATTTTTACTGTTTTAAATTTACTTTACTTTTCTTTGAGTATTATTTTAGCATGTGTGAAGACACTTGTTGCATAATTTCTATTTAATTGGTTTTTCGGTGTATTTATTAAAAAACACATTTTCTTGTGCATGTGAAATTATTTAAACGCTGCATTAAAGAAATCTCATATGAAATAACAGTTCAGGTAAAAAAATATTGCAAAATACTTATTTATTGTTCTTTAATAATAATTATTAAAAAAAAGAGCAAAACAATTAAAACCAAGAGTCACTTAACAACAGTCAATAGATAATTTAAGAGAAACAATTGGCTGACAATAAAAGAAAACAAGATTTTTTAATGGATATAATATGAAGTAATTTCCATTTTCCTGCAACATATCGACATACCTACTCGTCATAAGTATTATTTTATATTAAATAGTTTTGGAATTGATTCCAAAACTATTTAATATCTAGGACGTAGGTAAATAGTGTTTAAAATCAATTAACACTTTAAACTAACACTTCAAAATTGTAATTTACGAGTATTATCAAATGACATTTACCTATTCGATTTTTTTATTTATTTAAGCAACTCGAACCTTGGAATTCGTGGAGGTATAAATCCGTAACACTAATTTATGAAATTAAAAATATCTCCTTAACGGTTGGCTTTAGCCATTTTCACTAAGAGTACCTTTATTGTTCAAAAAAGTCC